TATATAAAGTAATAAATCAAACCCTCCATCCAACAATTAGAAAACAGAATTATTTTCAATTACTCATGAGATAATTTAGAAAAAAATTCCTTCTACACTTGTCCCAAAAGGGCACAAAACTAAATAACTTGCAAAAGTGATCTCTGGATATAATAAATAGAACTAGATAGAAACTACAAATGTGCAGAACTTCTTAGTCAAATATTTAAAATAATATTGTTATACAATGTGTAACCTTAAGACACTGTTATAATGAAACTCAAAATATTTTAATTTATAACAAGGAAGACATCACCTATCAAATCTTGTGAGCTAAAACTAAAACAGTTAAAAGAGCAACTTTAAAATTATTAATAGGTGTTACTGTACACTTTAATGTGGTTCTGAATGATATTTACATGCATGCACAGCCAGTGCTAATCAAAGCTAATCACCTTTCATCAGCTTCCCCACCACACTCTTCCCAATGTGTAGTAATCACTATTCTACTTTCATGCTGACTTCCTTTATCTTCCACATGTGATAAACAATATGCAGTGCTTCTCTTTCTGTTCCTGACTTATTTCATGTATTGTAATGTCTCAGTTGCATCTATTTTTCTGCAAATGACAAGACTGTCATTCTTTCTTTTGCCTGGAGAATGCTCCACTGTGATATGCAACACATTTTCTTATTTGTTGAAGGGGCCTGAGACTAATTCTTTATCTTTAAGTTCAGCGTGCATTGGGCATTACAGAGAGGAGTTAGGTGTTCAATATATTTTAACTGAATTGAATTACAACATATGTGACAATAGGAAATAAGACAGAAGAACAAATATTTTGCAACAATGTTTAGTATTGATAAAAACTAAATTGCTGTTACAGTATAAACACTGAGACTGAAAGAATACATATACATATCTTGTGAAAATCTGACATGATTACTCCAAAGCAATAATGGCATTGAGATATGTTATCTTTTTTCCAAATCCATTTTATTTCAAGAAAAATAAGAAGAAAAGTTACAATAAAATTTCAAAACATATCCCTGAGCCAATAATATTGATACATACACTGCACAGTTTCATCCCCAAATTATTTACTCAGAGCACAAGACATTTGTGTCTAGTTGTCCAAACATTACCAGCATAAATATTTCTCTTCAGTGAACTCAGATAAATCAGTAGTATAACTATCTTTGTTTTCTTTACAAACATATACATATACATATACATATACATATACATATACATATACATCATATACCTATGCATGACTTTTTTTCTTTTAGCTTCTCACACTAATGAGACAATGCAACCTTATACTTGTGAGCCTTATTTATTTCACTAATAAGTATGGTCTCAAGTTGCATCCAGTTTTAAGCTTCTGCATGTGTAGAGCCACCTTTTCCAGCACTGTTTGTTAAAGAGGCCATCTTCCTTCTACGGAACATGTTTGACACCTTTGTCAAGGATAAGGGGGCTTAGTGTGTCTGGAGTTGTTTCTGCATCTTCTAATCTGCTCCACTGATCTTGGGTCTGTGTTTTCTCAGTACCACACTGTCTTAACACAGTAGCTTTACAGTGTAATTCCAAGTCTGGGATTGTGATGGCCCCATCTTGTCTTTGTTGTCCAGGATTGACTTTGCTATTCTTGGTCTACTTTGTTTCCAGATGAATTTAGCCTTATGTTCTTTAATTCTGTGAGATATGGTATTGGAATTTTGATTGGGATTGCACTGAATCTGAACAACGGTTTTGGAAATATGGCGATTTTCACTATAATGGCCCTCCCACACTATACTGTGCTCTCCCTAACAAAGAACATGGGATATTTCTCTATTTTCTAATATCCTTTTCAGTCTTCTTTTGCAGATTACTGTATCTTTCAATGTAGAGGTCTTTTACATCTTTGTTAGGTTGATTCCTAGTATTTCATTTTTGAGGTGTTATCCTGAAAGGTGTTGTTTCTCTGATTTCTCTCTCAGCGAGTTTGTTATTTGTGTATAGGAAGGCTATTTTTTTAAACAGGGCCTCACTATGTAGTTTGAGTTGCCTTGGGCTTACTTTTAGCCCAGGCTGGTCTCAAACTTGTGGTGATCCTGCTGCGTTAGCCTACCAAGTGCTGGGGTTACAAGTGTGAGCCACCATGTCCAGTTTGAGGCTAGTGAGTATCCAGCTAGTGTTATTGAGTTTGCTTATTAAATCTAGTAGTATTTTGGTGGAGCTTTGAGGTCTTCTACGTTAATATCTACAAAGAATGCTATCTACATATAATGCTATCTACAAACAATGATAGATTAACTTCTTCCTTTCCTATCTTTATTCCTTTTATTTCTCTTGTCTGATTGCTCCAGCTAATGTTCCAAGACTATATTTCAACCTCACTTGCATGGTTCTTGGAAGTCAGCTCCCTTTCCTTTGGTTGGAGATCTCAGAACCTTGTCGTGTCCCTATGAAAAGCCCTCCCCAAACATCTGTGCTTTCCCTTTGTATTTCCTCTAGGTTTTGACTCAAAGGTCAACACCTTTTAAACCCTACACTTACACCTGTCTATTGTCTTCTTTATGAATCGGGCTCTAGTGAACTCCTTGTGTATAAAACTAAAGCAGGTCTTTGTAGAAGTGTGCCACCCTAGTATCCCACTTAAGTATTTTGTATCTTTTTTGTTGGTCTCCTTGCTGTCCCCTGTGCTCACATGTTAAACCCTGGGAAAGCCCAGTTGCCATAGGCGCTGCCACTGTGGACCAGTTAGTGGACTTCGCACTGCAAGATGTGATGCATTTTCTCACAACCAGTATAAACATAAGAAATACTTTTCTCCTGGGGGCAGTTTTCTGATTAAAGAAAACCCTGCCTGAGCTTCAGTTCCTCCTGACCCTTCTTGTCATTCACTGGTCAGCAGCCCGGGAGGGAGAACCCACTATGGAGAAAGTGACCCAGTGGAAGTCCAGCCTATGGTCACCAGAAACTGGGACGCTTATAGCAGGGTCAGAGCTGCTCAAGGGCTTCTCAGGTGAAATTCACATGCGTGCTTGCTGTGGGATAAAGGCTCACTAGGTTTATTTCTCAGTAGAAAAGCCTGTGGTACAGTGTCCACTACTGCAGAAACTTGGGACTGTGTATCAGAGCAGAGCTGTGTGCTCTGTCTCCGGGGAATTCCTAGGAGGGACTGAGAATCAGGGAGAGAGAAGCTGAGCTTTGCACAACAGACTCGCAATCTGATATTTCCCTGTGTGCACAGAGCAGGCTGTGCTACCTCTGCGCCCTTCTGGGGTGGGTTGAAGGGGAAAAGTGTGAATGATTTAGAATATGAACAATGTCATGATACACAGACTGGTGAAAAACTGAGGAAAATGGGTGCTAGTAATTTACAGTTTGGAAGAGGCAGGCTTTTAAAGTCAGGATTGGCTACCGCAGAATCCTTGTACACTGTTGATGGGAATGTAAACTAGTACAACCACTGTGGGTATTAGACATTTCTCAAGAAACTAAAACTAGAAATTCCATTTTACTCAGCTCTCCCCCTTTTAGGCATTTTCAGAAAGAGTCAAAGACATAATATTTCAGTGACACAGGGAGGCCCATATTTATAGCAACACAATTCACAGTAGCTGCATCTTGGAAGTGACCTATGTGCCCATCAACAGATGAACTGAAAGACAAAGTATCCTGTTTTATGTAACGTGGAGTACTTTTCTCCATTACAGGAAGATAAACTTGTGTCATTTGTGGGTAACGATTGTACCTTGAAGCCAAAATTTTAAGTGAAGCAAATCAAATATGTAAGATTACTATCACATTATTTCTCTTATATAAGGAATCCAAAATAAAAAATAAAAAGCAAACTAAAGAATAGACAATAGAAAGTAGAGCACTATCTCATTCTCAAAGGGCAGAGGATCAAGAGATGGAGGTAGGGGAAAAAGAGAGATAGGAAAGGGGATTTTAAAAAGAATTAAGTATGTTATGTACATCAACCAATTCTGCTCAAGGAGCTTAAGTGTGGTGTGTACTGCAAACAGGCACACACACAAAAGGAAGAGGACCAGGATGGTAGAAGGGGAGGGAGGGAAGGGAAAGGCAATGAAGAGAGGAATTAAGATGTGTTATGTACATTTTCCAACTTCCCACAGGGAATGTAAATAATATGCACAGTACACATGTACTAACAAACCAGATTTTTAAATCACCTAGTGGAAGACTTAGTCTCATTAACCCTGCTCAGAATGCTCCCTTCCGTTCACACAGATGCTTCTTCATTCCCACCACCTTCCAGTGCAGCTCTGGACAGCCTCTTTCATGACAGTCTTTTAAAACTGTGATAAAAATATAAAAACACTGCACAGTGAAGGCTGCCGCAGAGCACATTTAAGGAAAAGACCATGTAGGAAAACACTGCAGTGCGCCCCATCCACCTTCCTCACTGGGTCTGGCGCCCCGTGATAGATGGCTCTTTCCAAAGGCAGAATCACTAGACAGGGAAACATTCTGAATGGATTCAGGAATCAGAGCAACCACAATCACACAACTACAGGCACAAAATAAGCTGAACTTCCCAGACTGCTTCAGACAGTGGTGAAGACAATGAGAGGTGAACATTCAAAGCCAAGGAGATCAATGGCCATGTGTATTTTACTGTAATACTTTTTTTTGAATTTCAGTATCCACTGATTGTTTAATAAGCCTTGTATTATTATTTTCAGTAAACCAAAAAGAGCAAAACGGCTAAATAAGAAACTAACAGAAATCATTTGACATGGAATTTCTGAGTAAGACAATCTTCATGGGGAAATAAATTTATGAAAGTACCAACTGTTTTGAATTGCTAATAACTTTCTGAAAGTTAATAGGTATCTCAAAAAAAAAAAAAAAAAAGACATAGATGAAGACACAGCACTGACTTTCAGTGCAGAATGAACCAATAATCCACTGAGTTCACCGCTCTGCCCACCAGGGGGCGCGTCTTTCTAACTCATGCACAGCCCCCGTTTAATTCTAAGCTCACAGTCACCCTCTCACTGTAGGAGTAAACTGTTCTTACAGGAAGAGGCCCAGAGGCAGGGGCTCCAGAGACTGAAAATGAACTGTTTCTCGGGAATTATGATTGTGTTATTCTTGAAATTTGGTGAGTAAAATAACACATAAATCTTAAAGACTTTTGAACCAGCATGTTGAGACAATTTTTAAACAGTTTTCTGTGAGAAAACCCCACTTTAGTACCAAGGTAAGCGGCCACAAATTGTATTTTTTCTTTCTTTCTTTTTAGATGGAAGCGAGGAAGAGTCAGTGACACAAACCCAAGGCCAAGTGACCCTCTCCGAAAGAACTGCCCTCACTGTGAACTGCTCCTATGAAACCAAAACCACACAGTACGCAGTCCTATCCTGGTATGTCCAGTATCGCGAAGAAGGTCCACAGCTCCTCCTGAAAGCCACAAAGGACAAGGAGAAGGGAAGCAACAAAGGCTTTGAAGCCACATATGACAAAGGAAGCAGCTCCTTTCACTTGAAGAAAGCCTCAGTGCAGGCGTCAGACTCGGCTGTGTACTACTGTGCTCTGAGTGACACAGTGGCAGGAACCGCAGGGGGAGCTGAGCACAAACTCTGAGTGATGACGAGGGAACTGGCTGCAGCTGTCTGCCTTGGGTTTTATGGTTTAGGGGCCAGGAACATGTCTAACATGGTTGTTGCCTATCAACCACAGCTGGTGCTGTGATGGAGTAAAATCACACAATCCAAAGCTAAGAAAACTGCAGAAGAACAAGAGGTAAACGTGCCTCCCACAAGACAATTTCACTAATAAGCTTCCCTGATAAGCTGGTGATTTTAAGGCAAATTTCAGCCTAATAGATCATATGGTCTGAAGGAGAGGGAAAAAAAAAAACAAGAAAGTAGGAGAAGAATAATGTGCAGCCTTTGACCTCATATAGAGAAAGAGATGGTGCTCTTAATAGTTTCTGTCAGGAAAACTATGTGACATGAACACACTGACTTTCTCCAGATTAGGTTAGACAGGTGCACACCTGTAAAGGTTTCCGACCTCCATCATTTCTCAGTGAGTGGCTCTTAATCAGCAAGACAGTCCTTGAGAGAGACAGGCAGTGTCCCCACAGGCTGGGGAAGGAAGCCACTGAGATGACCCCTTTTCTGGACATTGGTGGGCAGGGAATCCCAGCACCCCAAACACCTCTCAGGCTGTTTCTCTTACTGAAGAGCAGTAACAGATGGAGTGGGAGCCATTGGTCAGAGTATGAGAGAGCAGGGCTGGCAAAGAAGGACAGTTTAACTGAGGATAAATCGGTGTCACTGCAAATATTGGAGATTTTGGGTTACTAGCTCTATTTTTTTAACATTTAGTTTACTGCTTAATTTATACCTCCGTAAAAGTTAAGATAATAACAGAAATTTAACAAATAGGAAACAAATACAATAAAATGAGAACTGAAGTACTAGATGTGAAAAAATAAACACATAAATATTGATAAATAAAAATTGCTATAATTAAATAATGTAGTAGCCTAAATAATGGCCACTAGCAGTGTCCAAGTCATAAGCACCAAAATCTGGCAATATGCTACCTTATATGGTGTGCTAGTTTGCTAGGGCTGTCATAGAAAAGGTCGCAGAGTGGATGAGTAACAGTAACAACATTTATTTCGTCACCATCTGGATGCCACAGGTTTGCCCCTTCTCTGAAACAATTTGAGAAGATGTGTTCCATCCTGTCTTTGTGCTCTGATAGTGGCTTGAAGGTGATCCATCCTCCCAGTGGCTTCTTCAAATCTCTCCCCTCTTTGTGCTTTGGCCTCTCAATATTGTTGTAGAATCCAAGATGCCAGAGAGCCTGATGGTGACAAGGAGGATAAATTTACGGGATGCTAGATGCACATCTGACCTCAGACCCAAAGTTCTGGGTGTTAGAACAAAGGAAAGGCTCTGGTTTTATATATTTGGCTGAGGGGGCTCCTCTTTAGCCACTGGAAGTGGGGTAGTGAAGCAAGACAAGGCAATTAACCACTTAGTCTTGAAAGAAGAAAGAGCCTTGTGAATTCTGCAAGATCAAGGTGATGTAAGCTCCGTTTCCAGGATGCAGCTGCCCAGCTTACCTTCACCAGAGCAGGAGGTTACAGCTACAGGGCGGGGTGGTGGAGAGTCCAAGGGGGACTGTCCTTTAAAGTCTGGCTCAGTGTGACGTTCATTTTATAAGTCCAGTCGTACTGGACAGAGGCCTCCCCTACTCAGCAAAACTTTAACTAAATATATCCGTGATGCCCATGTTTTCAAGGAATTCCGTATTCAAAAATGAGAGAAATTCAGTCATATGAATTTGAGGGGCATGATTCACCAGAATGCCTAAGGGGGAAAAGATTTTCCAAATGAAAATAATACAAAGATCTTGGGATAGAATGATTATCCTGGATTCTTCAGGAGGACAAATTAATCATAAGACCATCAGTAGAGTGAGAGTAAACAATTTGGTGTGACGTGGAAATGAGGAAAACCTCTAAAATCTGAAGACAAGACAACAGATGATTCCCTGTAAACACCACAAGGAAGCAGACGTGTTGGCTTCTAGAGTTTACATTAGGAAAACTAATTTTGAATTGGTGACTCCCCAGAATTGTAAGACAAAATCTGTGTTACTTTATGCTACTATGATTGCTGTAATTTCTTATGCAATAATCAGAAACTAGTAAAAGTAGAAATAAAAGTTGAAAAGTAGACATAGCTCAAGTATCAATAAAATTTTTTAAGGGAAATTGTATATAAATACTGCTGATAAAACTTAAAGTTCTTAGGAAATCAAGTGAATTCATAGAAAAAATATGTATCATCCAAAATAACTCAGTAATAAATAAAAATCTAAATAGATTTATAAGCATTTAAAATTGTTAGATAATTATAAAGAAATCTGGAGAGAATTTTCAACAAAACAGTACATTTTAATTGGCCTGTGTTTCTCATGACAAAATTAAGCAACATACATCCTAAAACTTAAGTCAGAGAAGGAACTGCTATGAAGAAATAAGAAAACAATCCAAAATAAAACAGGTAAGTATACAAAAATCAGCTCAAAAAGAAGAAACATAGAGGGTTAGTAAACACATAAAACATTGTCTATAGCTATCAGAAGAAATTAAAAATTTTTCATTATTTCTAGTAGAGAAGCAAAAATAAAGCCTGCTTACATTAAGTTTTGAGAAAACTATAGGAAGGTAGAACTGTTACACTTTGTCAAGTAGGAAAGAAAACCACACACAGAGAGAAAAATTTATATAACCATTTAGGAAACCACAATTGTTTGCTAAAAATGGTTAAAATTATGTACATGTGAAATTCAACAACTCCAAGTATTGGTATTTCTGTTTAAAATTTAAATATAGGAACAAGAAAGTATTTAAAAGATGCAATACTACTTTAAAAATAAACATAATCAGTCATCAGTGTAATGGGAAGCATAGTTTATTCCTACAATAAAATGCAAAGATATTTATAACAAATAAATGATTCCACGTGTATAGATGAACCCTAAACACATACTGCTGAGTATGAAAGGAAAATATCAGAATGGTACACGCTGCGTGACACCACAGATGAAAAGTCCAAAAATACAAACTGCATCATTTTGTGTTACCTGTCTATGAGGACAAAATATACCTGGAATTATTTGAATGAAATCTCCCTACCAGCAATTCTTTCTTTGGAAGGAGAGGAGAAGAACAGGGGGTGACTTCTTTATCTGTGTAATACTTTTTAAAAAGTGAAGGGGTGTGGGGAGGGAGAGAGATAAAAAACATACGATTAAAACAGCATAATTACTTTTTTCTGGCTGCTAACTTTTCTGCCATATAATTTTCTATACTTTTAGATGTGATAATTGTATAACACATTTAAAGTAATTTCTAAATAAATAGCAGCAAGTAGATTTTTATGATCTTCACCGATCCACAGAATGGAGAAAGAAACTTCTCCTTATTGCACTCTGTGAAGCACATTCCTGCTAAGCAACACAAATTCCAGGAGAAAATCTTTGATTTCCTAATGAATAAATGGGTGTCCAGTTAGGTAGCCCAGAGAAAGTTCATACACTCCCGGCTGCTCAGGGTGCCCAGCAGGAGGATGGACTGGGAGTAGGAGTCCAGGTCAGCCTGGGCAAGGCAGGGGACTCTGTCTCAAAAAACAAACATGCAAAACAACAGAAAAGGCACACGAGCAAGTAAACAGTATCCAACATCAAATATCCACTCCAGGCTCAGCCTTCCATGGCTACAATGCATCATTTTTACCACAGGAAAAGAGAAAGTGAAAGAAGAAAATCAAATCAGGTGGTTCTTAGCAATACGTACTCTACAAGACACCAGTGTATGAACTCCCTCTGGTTCTCAAATTTTTATCCCTTTTCTATTTGAAAAGTTAAATTACAAATTCAGAGTAGTATTTATATCTGACTGGAGGATCTTTCAGAGGACTGACATAGCCAAGAATAAAACAAGACACAGTCTCCCTGCTGGAGGTCAGCATGAGGTTAAAGGCATCCCCAGGGATGGAGGAGGCAGGGAACCTCCAGGAGCCTCAGTAGTGATATGCAGCTGCACATGGAATGTCACTTTAAAGGTTTTGCAAAGGGAGCAAGAGAAATCTGAAGGCAGATGGTCATGGAATAACTGAGTCCCATTTGGGTTTCTTTACATGAAACTCGCCTGAAAATACATTTTTGAAATCTGGAAATATGACATAAATTCCCTCAAGCTTAAAATGGAAGAGAATCTTCATTCATTCAAGGTTCAAAGGGGGAATTATTTTGAGAACATTTATATTATCAAAAGTTTTCCATGTTTTTATTAATCAAACAGCATTGGGAAGAAGTTTTGTCTTCCTGAAAGCAAGAGCAGGAATCAGAAAACCACTCCAAGCACTGCCTGTGGACTCGAGGCAAGAGAGAGCTGAGCACAGGAAAGCAGAAGGCCCTGGTCACCGCTTCCCGGGATTGCTAGTAAAATTCAGCAGAATCAGCTCACAAACTTGACTTCGCTGCTGCGTTAGCACACCAGTGCACAGCTGGAAAGGTGTCTGTGTGAGAAGCCGGCTTTAGTCTCCGCTTTCTGAGTAGATGCTCTGTGACTGTGAGATCTCCAGGTACCAGGGTGTGAGGGGAGCACAAAGAAAGGACAGGGGTCTCCTGGTTTGTCTCTGTAGGAAGCCAAGGACTGCACAGCATGTTTGGCATTAGGGTCACATTGGAGGCAAGAGAACAATGAAAGCTTCAGTGAGCACCCACACACAGCTGGCATTCACTGAGTTCACTTTCAGAAAGGGCCCCACCAGATAATTTAATAAGCTTGGAAGGATTCTGTGCTTTATCTCCTTTAAATATTTCCTTATATATTAAGCTTTCTCCTTTCCTAGATAGGATCACTTGTTACTTAGATGATGAAGAAGGGTAATACCTGGTGTTTGAGAAGCACCAATGTCATCAGCTGGACACTGCAGGAAATGCAAACTTAACCCAGCAAAAGCCCCGCCTTAGAGGCAGCTGCTATAACCCCTGAGGGAGCCTGCACCTAGTGTCAGCAGCAGGGAGCAGCCCATTCTACAGGAGGGAAACTCTGCCTCAGCGCTGCTCCTCAGGGTCTCCACCTGCGTAGGTAACAGTAACTGCAAAGCAGGACCTAGAGGTGAAAGTGGACAAAAAAGATATCTCAAATCCTTAAAGTTTCTGCCTACAGCATGGATCTGTTATTTAAAATTACATCACGAACTGGAAATATTTTAGAGGCTTTGAATGATTTGTAGCTCTCTATTTGTCTTTTGTTCACTTCATATTGTCATAAATTGAAGCAATAATCAAGAAAAGATTGACAATTATATTCCAAAAAATTATACAGCTGAACGGAAAATCAGCAACCACTTTCTGAGCCATTGATATGCCCTTAAGCGCTTTAACATTCCATTAAATAAAAATACAGAGTTTAGCAGTGAGCCTCAGCACTTTTGATCAATGGATGAGAAAATGTTTTAGTAGGACAAGGCTAGCACACTGCTCTAGTAACAGTAATTCTTTCTGCAAAGCCAACATCGCTAAATGACCTCAGACTCTAAAATCTAGTAAGTAGAACTAAGTCACTTTTTAAAAAAGAATAATAGTTTATTCTTGACATGTTTTTACAAAAAAACATAAATTAATAGCTTCTGAATTACATAAGAATTGACATTTATTAATTAATTTAGTTTTATAACCTACGAAACACAAATGTCATAGAACTGAATAAGGAAGATGTATATTAATGTTTTGTATACGTTTCCTTTCATCAAGGAATAAAAGGACCTATGGGGATCGAGTAAATAGTGTTAAATTAGGACAGGTAAGTGGGTCAGAGGGAAAGAGAGTGGCTCGAAATCAACTCCACCATACAAGCATCCCCCAAATTAGTCCGCCAGATAACAGCAATGAGCATCACCAGCTCAGTCTGCAGCCTCCTCAGCTCCACACCACAGCACTAACAGCTTTGCTTAGGCCCCGCCTTTTATAGAGACAAGGAGAGGAACAGGGTGGGGTGAGCCACATTTATTCTCATTTTGGTCTATAAACATAAACACCCCATTTCCTATTTGGGGTAGCAGCATAAAAACCCAGGATGTATTTATCTGAACGCTAGCAGACACTCAGAGACCCTGAACCCTGAGACTGGACAGAGGAAACCTGTGCAGGGGACACGGCCACATGCTGCTCTCCAGCCTGCTGTGGGCGTCCGCCATCTCCATCTTTTCTGGTACATGCGGTGCTCACATGGGCCAGAGTAGGAAGGCCGGGTGGAGGAAAAGAAAGCAAACTGCCTTAACTGTGATTTGTTCTTGTGTCCTAATTAACCTAAATCTTACAACATTTGATTCATCACATGGAGGATCAGCTCTGTTTTCTGATTGTTCCCCCAGGACTCACTGTGGCCCAGAAAGTAACCCAAGACCAGACACCCGTGACCAAGCGAGAAGGGGAAATAGTCATCCTGGACTGTTCCTATGAGACAAGCTGGAGCTCGTACTATATTTTTTGGTACCAGCAACGCTTGAGCGGAGAGATGATTTTCCTTATTCGTCAGAGTTCTTCAGGTTCCGGTGGAAGGAGCGGTCGCTATTCTATCAGAAAAGCAACTAACTCCATGAATCTTGTCATCTCAGCCTTAGAGATGGGAGACACTGGAACATTTTTCTGTGCTATTTGGGCTTTGGGAACTCACAGTGTTTGAAATGATAGTAAAGGCCGAACAAAAACTCAGGAGTTCTCTGAGAGACAGGCCCTGCTGCAGGAGCCCAGCTGAGACTCACAGCCCAGCTGCAGATCCCACAGGGAAGGGAGCACGGCGGTTGTTCCATCTGTGGTCTGGATCAGAAGATTAAGTTCTAAGTAAAACCCTTCTGTCTTATTTGAAATCAGGTGTCAGTTGTATGATGTCTTTTGCAGTATATTTTGTCTAGCATTTTGATTCCAGAATAAAACACTCAAAATATTCATGTAGTTGTCTAGTGTTGTCAGCTTGTCCCATAACAACGTAACCTATCGGTTTCACCTTAATATGCTTACAGCCCACTTTTAAGTGTAAGTACCTGAGAGAGCTGTGAAAGCCATTTTAAATCCCCTTTACCTTAGGCTTTTCTTAGGTAAAATCAGAGAAAGAAAACCACCAGTACTAATGTAAAGTAAGAGAAATTTAAAAAGTTAGATGGCATGCATCATCTTGAGCTAGAGGAGTGGCCTCTGGAGAGCTATTGTGTTTCCTTCTCATACTGAGCCTGAGTTGACTGAGAGTCAGTCACACCCAGATCTGGGAGAGGAAGGTGGGTGAGGACAAGCATGTGGAGGAACTGTGCTTGGGGGGCAGAGGAGGGCCCATGAGAACAACTGGATGCTACCAGGACAAATTAAAACGTTCTGCAGCTCAACTCCTTTGCTCTTAGTTGGCGTATAACCTTGAAGAGAAGCAGTATAGTTTGCCATCATTCTGTACACACACTTGGCCAAAGCCAAACACGGCTGAAGGAGATGCAGGCGGAGGTGAAAGAATTGTTAATGGGAAAATGGTCTGGCAGAAGGGCAGAAATCTGTGGAAAATGGCCCACAGTTTAGATCCCTGAACCTGCAAAGTATATAAGCAATGCTTGCTGCATCACTCTGGCCTCTCTAATCTTGTACCATTTCTTCTGTGGCCAAACCTGAAGCCGAACAACAGAGGGAAGCAAATTCTGGGAAGCATATTTTCTCAGCATTGAGAAAGTAAAAAGCTGCTACAGTTAACCATTCCCAGCTTGGCATATTCACCTCCTACACCAACACTTAAAATTAAAAACAAAAAACAAACAAACAAACAAAAAAACCAGAACAACCACACTGCTTGCTAAGATGATACAACTATTTCTAACTCTACCAAAACTGATAATCTCTCCTGAAGGCTGCACAGGTTTTGATTCATCTCCGTGTGTTTTCTAGCTGAGGTGCAGTCTCTCAAATATGCCTTAAGTACTGAGAGCCAACTAGATAGGAGATTACCTCTCATTTTTACATTTTATACTCTACATGCAGGCAGATGGAGAAAACCATGAATTTCTATAAATATAAATATAAATTTCCATAAATATAAATATGTTCCTATTAAATGAAGTGGAAGTTTCATAGCAGTTACTATTCTTGTTTCCACAAATGCTCATGAAATGCTGCACACAAAGCCATAAATTCGAAGCAGGAACTCTGTAAGTCAGCTACATTGTGTGGGCAAGAGTGTTTCAGGCAGGCAAGTGAAGGTAAATCCACATCTGAGATCAACAGCATTACGATCTTTGCAACACTCAAAGAAAATTCATACACTATGTTCACAAAACAACTTAAAAGTTAGTGTTTGGCTTTCACTAAAGAACAATAGGTCAATGGCCATCAATAAAGAAGAAATATTTTAAAGTACTCAGAAAAAATACTGTCACATTGTCTTTCCTATTTTTCTATGAATGTGAAGTATGCATTAAATTGGACTTATAAAAAGTAACTCAAGTCATGTACAGTGATGTAATTTCAGCTACTTGGAAAGTTGAGACTAAAGAGTTGAGTTCAAGATCAGCACTCAAAATTTAGCCAGGTCCTTTCTTCTTCCCCCAAAAAAAGTCTTAAAAATGTGGACAGTTCATCCAAAGATTAGAAAAGTATATTTGATATCTGTCTGTCTTTCTATCTGTCTGTTTATCTTTATTTCACTATTCTGAGGGTGTCCTGAAGCTCCTGAGCTCCCGAATCCTCATACCCCAGTTTTCTAAGTACCTGAGCCTACAGGCATGCAATACATATTTCTGAGAAAAGACTCAAAAGCAGAGTATATTAAAAGTTCACAAAATCAATAAGCAGCCACCAATAAAAAATTATGAAAATTTATCTGCTTCAGATATCTGGGAATAGCAAGTAAGCTCAGAAAAAAAGTATTTCATTTTAGCCTGAGGCTGCAAAGAGAATAATTCCTTACAGGACGCATAATTTATAGTTTTATTTATAATGATCACCCAAGGATTCAAAATTTAAAAAGTGCAGGAAATCTGTCTACAACACAAAAGACATAGAAAATCCAACTGAGGCCCTGGATCCCATGGCAATAACCTGCATGAGTTCAGCTGAAAACCTAGAGCCCAAGACAATCACTCATGCAAGTCTGTAACATAGATCTACACTAGGAAGGACACTACAGATCTACACTAAATCTACACTACATTACACTAGAGTAGATCTACACTACAAAGGACAGAGATTGGAAGTTAGAAAGTCTTTGCCAGCGGGGTGAAGTGTCTATGCCAGCAGGCCAAGGGTTCTGTACTACAACCAAGATGCGATTCTCAAAATAAGGACCAGGGCTCCTCTGAAAGGTACCACCTCCACTCTCAGTGACAGTGAGGTTCCCAGTTCCTTTGGCAATGAGAAAGGTCAAGTACATATCAGGAAGATAGTGTGACAAACTTGTGGAGATTAAACAGCACACACCTTCCCATCCAGAGCCAGAAAGCAATACTGAAAATAAGGACCAGAGCTCCCCTAAAGTGAACTGCAGCCATTCTCAGCAACAAGGTCCCCAGCTCCTCTGATGATAACAGCCAAGTGCATGTCCGGGAGCCAGCATGACAAGGTCCTCTAGGAGAACCTATGGCTCCAAACAACACTTAGGAGAACCCAGTGCTACCTTTCCGCTCCAGGTCTCCTTTGGATGCTGGCAACATTCGTGGGCCATCCGTGCTCAGCACCATGCTGATTCAGCTGAGCTTGTGTTTAAATTGGCCACCAGTTACCAATCCACTACAGACTTAATACCATTGCACACTAGGGAAATGAAAATAGAGACTCCATGAACATGGTCCATCTATGGTTTTTTAGCACGCTGAGTGAGATAATGTAGTCAGGAGGATATTATCATATGAAGATAGCCAAAATGAGTCACTTCCAGAAAAGGGGTGGTTAATATTTCTTGAAGCATTTAAGTCATGTGATAGGGAGAAAACTCAGTTGGAGGAAAGACAGACTTTACTATGAAAGTCAGAGTTGTGTTTATTTGAGTTTACTCTGTATGAAGCATAGTATTTCACATTTTAGACTCTTTTGACTTAAACATCAAAGACCTATGATACAGTTTTTATTGAACCCATCTTTAATGGTTGAAGAATGAAATGTAGCTGTCCTTGATTCTGAGGAGTTTCTCCTTCATTATTGTCAGCCTAGTCCAGCATCTGAGAGCCCTAAGGTGCAGGGATTTGCCTGTGGAGGGTCACAGCCCCAGGGCAAGTGACCATTGCCCCAGGGAAGGTGGTGTTACTGGGGTCAATTTGATCCCTCTGGGAACTGGAGACAATGATGACAGACAGACACAAGTGGCCCTAGCACCAGGAGATTAAAATCATCAAGTAACCATTTACCAATGAAAACTTAACTACTTCAGAAACACGATTCCAGGGTTTTAGCCAGTGTCCTCTACAACAATGTGCTGGGAAGTGTAAGTGGCTAGAAAAAGATATTCTTGAAATACTCTGAGCATCTTCCCACATCAGGGTCTTTGCTCCTTGCTTGTACCCTTCTCACTCTAAGAAATGATGACATAGGAGATGATCCCTCATCTGTGCATTTTAATGTTTTCCCCAAATATCTATGTGGTTTACCTGTGCACTTCTGCACACTTTTATTCTAATATCACCACTGTGTGACACCTGTTCTAAATCCACTTTTTTCTTGGAGATTCAGGCTCCAGTACACTTAGAATACATAAAACCTTAGTGGTTTTTGAATGAAGTGCTGCCTCCTGGTGTCCTGCTGAAATAATTTGTGACTTTCAGTCCTGTCCACATTGTTGCCCTGTAGTGTTCATGGGATAATTGTGACAACAGCCTGAAATGCAAGAGGACCTGCACGGTGAAGAACACTGAAAGGAAGACAATCTGACAAATCAGCAAGGAAGTAAAAGGTGGGTAGTTACAATGGCCCCCTTTTCCCTTCTTTCTTAAGTCTCTGCTAGAAAAACATGGGTAGACTTGATAAGAGAAAGGCATTTAGCAGTTTACTGCAGTGTTATGGGTCATTGTTGACTAACTGCAAACATTTTAAGAGTTGATCAGTGAAGACAAGGTTGTACAAAAAAAAATATGCCTGTACAAATGTCCAAGGTAGCCATGATCCATTTTCGTGATATCATAAAATTTAAAAATATATTAAGGAGTTTATAAAATCTGTTACATAAGGGTATTCCAGTGATGAGCATTTTGTATCAAGTAAAATGCTGTAGAAGAAACACTATGTTCTCTTGCTCCAAATACTTGGTGTATTACAAAGACTGTAAATGCCCTGAGATACCTATTAGCATAGCCTCCCAGGTTGGAATGAAGAAGGATAAGTTAAGGTGATGAATGATGGAAGGGCCAGAACTGGAAGGGGGACTCAGTGGGGATTCCGGATTATATGTGGTATTTTATTACTTTTGTTATTTGGTGCTGGATCTTGAGCCAGGACCTAAAGCCATGAATTTTTCTACCAAGCTGCATCCTCAACCCTAAAAGTGGTTCTTTTTTAAGCTTCATCCAACCCAGGCATTCCGATTTTTGAACACCTGCATTTCCACATCAGGAAACTCAGAGTAAAGAGAGCTGGTGGGTGAGGGCTGAGGATACTCCTGTCTGAAATGACCTGTGTTGATGGTTTCAGCTCACTAGGGGGCACTGCAGTGACTACTGCATTGTCTCACCTAACAGCTGTGGGTGGGTTTCCTGTTAAGAACCTGAAAATCATTCAGATGTCACTTGTGCTCAGTGAGTCCAAGGAACCTGCTTCTGTAAGAGAAAGTTAGGATGTATCACATGACTACATCTAGAGCTTGGAGAAGGAAACTCCAGGCAGTGGTCAGGAGCATGGAGAAGAAACTGGGAGCCCTACTGGGGCTTTTGTGGGTGCCACTTTGCTGTGAGTGGAGGGCTCCCACCTGAAAT